TGACTGGATTTACTTTTTTCCTGCAAATCCAAGGTTGGCCACTAAGGGGATATCTGGAGTCGCCATGTAATTAGTAGTATTAGGCCTCTGGAAAAGCAACTGTAGTTTGGGAATTTTAATTGAAAGTGATTCAAATTAGCATGCTCAGATTTCTATCCAAATGCTTGAGGCCTGTTTTTAGGGCATACATTTCTATTTGGAGAAGCCATTTAAGGTTCTTTTCCCATATTTGCAAAGGTATTCAAATTAGATCAGGGTGATTAGCCAAAGGGGTCTAGCTGGAAGGGCATCTATAGTTTAAATGCCTGAGCAAAATTCAAGCAAGCATTCTGAGGATTCCCATCTATAGACTTGTATGCTCAGTTTCTTTACAGGCCTATGCTTTTATGGGTTTCCTGCTCATTTTCCCATTATTCTCAGAAGCATTCAGGACATCTGAAGGCAACTGACTATCAAAGAAGCTGCTGGATTCTTTGTAGCACTACTTAATATATGAAAGCAGAGATGATACGATTTTGTTTCAGTTAGAAGGCTGATCATATAGCCTCTTTGGTTATTGTAGCTTTGCAGTCAGATAGCCAACTGTTCTTAAACTTCTTTTAACTATTCTGGTGTCATGAGATATGAATCTGAAATTTCACTAATCAGATAGCATTAAACTTATATCACTCCATTGTTTTCTTCCAGTCCAAAATAAATCGATTGCTTTACAGCAAGCACAGACTGCACAAATTGACTCAGGTAGAATAGACTCATGGTACAATATCTTCTTTGTACATTGTGATTAGGCAGCCTTATAAATGGAATAAATAGTAATAAAATGAAAATCAAGGTCCTTTTTAATCAAAACAGAATTAGGGCAGAACTCTAAACTACTTGAAAGCTCTACCTGAGATTAAGTACCCTGAATTGGGGAGGGGAAGGAATAAAAGGCCCAACTTTGTGTTTCTGATTGTTTAATATCCAAAATAAGAGCTCCAGAAAGATGCAATAGAGCCACTCTTTGCTATCACTTCACGTAGAGAGACAAAGTTAGTTTGAACATTATGATGATCTGGGAGTGGGGGAGAAAAAACAAGTTACTTGTAGTTCCCTAATCAAATGTTACTGTCTCAAGTCATTCTTTACCTGGCAGAGCACAAATCCATTAAGAGATGTGATCATTTTCTATGTAGTAGTGCAGTTTATAAAAGTTGTTTTGTTACATAAAAATCTTCCTGGAAGATGGAATCAAGAATCATTAAACAAGTTGCCTCAATTTATCTTAGATAAGGCACTAAATAAGGAACACATTATGAGATGTTAATAAAATGACAGACTATACACACTAGAACATGATACTTTATTATAATATACTGAAATGTATTACATTTCTGAAAGTGTGTATGTATGTATATGAGTGTGTGTATCTATAATATAAATTATATACAAACACACACACACACACTATAATGCAAACCAAGTCACTTCTAGAATTAACAAGTAGCATCAAAATGCATTTAGTTATAAATATGTCCCTTTGAAATTAAGGAGACTTAACTAAGTTGTGCTGATCAGTGGCCTCACTGATTTTAATGGTACTTCTCACATGTCTGAAGGCTATCCCATAAAAAAAAAACTAGCAACAAGAAGTTTGAAATGAAGAATTAAAAAAAAAAAACAGTACAGTTGGATAAATATGCCATTTTGAACAAGGTACCCTATTAGCTTGAAAAGAAGCCCTATACTTCTGTAGATAATTAACAGTTCCTTGAAAGAGGTAACAAGCCTATCCAGGATTCCCCCTTTGGATTAGCTCCCAAAATAAGTAAATAAAAACCTCAAAAGAGCAGAAATATAATATACACCAAACAAGCCAAACCAAAGACATAACAAAAATCAGTTAACATCTAAATGCTAGCAGGAAGAGGGTCAAGTGGCTCCTAGTGTAAAGAGTCCAATACCCTGGATATCCTCATCCACTTTAACTGTGTCCCTAGAATTTTACCAGTATTAAAAAACAAGTTTGCAGAAAACTGCATTATTTTTGAAACACTGCAGAATGTTATGGCCCTCTTAATTAGATACTTCCTCCCCCTGCAACAAAATTAATTAATACAAAATTAAGTCAATAAGGGACCACCTAGATTTGATGTGTATTTCCACAGTCGTTCTTGGGACAAGGAGATCTTGAACAAAAAAGCAGTTAGGAAGACACTTCTTTCATTTTACAGATATACCTCTTGATTATTTGTTTCAGTTGTTACATCAGGATGCTGATGGTCAGCTAAGAGACCCCTGGACTGCTAAGTCAGACAGTAATTGAGGGAAAGTGAAATGCTGATCACAATTCTACCCTGCTACAGGCAAAGCTAATATTTGCAAAGCTTCTCTGTGCTGATGCACTGTAAAGCTACAATATCATTCCAAGCAATATGAAGCAGAGCACAGGCTGCTTTGAAATAGAAAACACAAGGAAATATACGTGGGTGGGAAAGCATATGTTGCCAGCTGGAGGAGGAAGTGGTATACCACATTTACTTCATAAGTGTGAGGTTTTTTTATAAATAAATTCTCTTGAGGATTGTTTAAAATAGACAAAAAATGACACACAGTCTCCAACCACCCTATGTTGTTGTTTTAGAAAACTGTATGCATTCTGAAAACATTAGCATATTTCCTAGTTTTGTTTTGTTTTTTTCCTAGGGATTTGAACAACATGGGAAAAAGAAAGAAACGACATGGCATCAGCCCGGGCTTTCTCTCCTCATCAATGTCTGCTAAACAACCAAAGATAGAAGAACATTTTTTAGTATCTTCTGTTTTTAACTCCAACCTCTTCAAAACTGCGGGTAGATGGGACATACAGTAATCCTCAGCACATCTTTTATGAAATAAGCCTCTTAAATTGTCTTACCTGGCAATGAAAAACATACTCAGGAGTTGTTTTCTTGAATTTCATGTTCCAAACCAAGGCCACCCCATCAGGTTCATGTGGGGCATCTTCATTGTTGTTATATGAAGCAACCATCAACTCAGGGTACTGTAAAGAAAACAACAGGTAGTTAAATTTAGATACACAGTGGTGGACAAAATGATGTATGCCGAGTAAAATCACATAAGCAGATAAGTCCATCCAGAAGGCCTGGAAAAAGAGAGGGAGAATGTTCTGTAAAGTAGAACACTTTCCTGCATGACCAGCACTGAAGTTAAGTGGGCTAGTGATGAAAGGACAGATCATGCTATATTGCCTTCATCAGCCATTCACTCACCTGGTGGGAATTCCACATACACATCTGCTTGACATATGTGGCACTACTGATGACTGGTAAGTGGTTAAACATAAGTGCATGTGTATACTAGGGCTTTGCAAAGCATTCAAAAGGAAGCAAATACCTTCTCCTCAAAGCACAAAAGCAGACATATCCTCTTATAGGGTTGACTGGCTACTTCAGGGGCTTTCCCAATTGCATATGTATGCACAGCTACTCTGCTTCAGTGGGGGATACGGCAAACATGAAGTCTGTGCAAATGCAGGCATGTGGAGGCAACCTGAAATATCCTTTAAAGCAGCCAAGCCATATGGTTATTTTAATGCTTCAGGGAGGATGCCTTTTGTGAAGTGCCTCTTTTGAGTGTATCACACAGCCTTTATGTGTGTATGTTTGTGTGTTTGTGTGTTTATCCTACCTGGTGCAAAAAGAAAAGAAAAAGCACATCTTACATTCAGAACTATTAAAATGCACAAAAACATGAGGAACCAGGACCCAACAAGTCTAACTTCTATGTCACACAGCACCCAGCTATGTTCATTTGAGAAGCTTGCATGAAAGAGTATGCTGTCTGTGATTCAGAAAACAGTACAGAGTCATCAGGAATAAAAGCCAATGATGGCTTGATCCTCTATCTAGCTTCTTTTTAAAACTATCTAAATTAGTGGCTATCGCCACATTGGGATTATAGCAAATTCCAGTTTTCACTGTGTGTTAAAGGAATACAAACAGTATCTATATTTATACACATATCCTCGCAGATGGATAAACAACCCTCCTGAATTCTAAAGGGGAGGATGAGGGGATCTAGAAGAGAAACTAGAGATGGCACCTACAGCTTATCCTCAACTTACTGACTGCTGGCTATCTATTTCTTCACAAAATATTAATAGAAACTACTGGAATTATACTGACTAAACAGTGCCTTTAATTTTACAAAGGAATTGCCAGCTTTTCTTCAACAGAGTTCTTGTGACTTTCACAGATGCACAATGAACCAAAATTTGTCATGTGAAGATTCAGTCATTCCACCATCTCTCTTTATGTGTTTAACATTTGCTTGTCTCCCACCTTATTAAAGACATAGGAATCATGTTGCTTTATCTATATCTATAGTTATTAAATATCTTTCTCATTGTTTCCGGTTTTCACAATGTGAATAATCTTAACTACCACTACACATTTTTGGTTTGCCTGGTTATAATACACAGAACATTTTTAGTAATAGTACATACCGTAAGTAGTAATATATTATAGCATAATGATAGAATGGCAATATATCCTATGCTTGCAGTATAACTGTGTGTGAATATATATATCTGTGTTGGTCTATGAATCAATATGATTAAGCTCAGATACAGGAGGCCCTTCAACAAAGCTTCATCTGATAACTCCCAGCAGCAGAGTAAAATGGCCATTTCGGACATCGAATTTTGGGTACAATGAAAGGGACGAATTTCTTAATTATGCAATTGGTTGGTCTTATGTTTTCTGCCAAGTGATTTCAAGATCTTATTTCTCAAGTGTTAAAATGAGTTGGCTGGCTTTGGATTGTACACCCCTTGATTGGGGAAGAAGGTACTATCCATTGCTCAGACGCAAAGTATTTTAATTGGGCCTCAGAGGGTGGGCCTGGTGATCCAAAAGTAACAGTGCACCAATAAACATAGGCAGTATGGAGTGAGATTATATCAGGGAAATTAAGGGAAAGTCAAATGACAGGTATTTCCCGGGGTGATGGAAAAGGAAGAATAGCTATATAGGTGAAGATATTTCTGATGATTCTACATTTATTTCTGATGATTCTACATTTGCAGTAACATAAGATCTTATCTACATTATATAATCCTGGTTAACAGAAGATTCCACTACATAGCTTTCATTGAGCCACTCAAAGCACTTTAAGCACTATGGCATGTGAGGTGATATAGCTATCCCCAAATTGGCACTTTTCAAATATGATGGGACTACAACTCCTAGCCAGCATAACTGTAGGTTTCTGGAAGTTGCAACACCTTTTGCAAACCACCAGAAAAGGGAAAGCTGGAACACATCAAAGTTTATTCTGAGTATGTCTGCCCTATTTAACTATCTGATCCAATATATGCATGAAACCTAGGGGTCCGAAATGGCGACACTGAGAGTAGCTGAGGTGAACATCTAAGAGAGATAAGAACTGGAAAAAGAGAAGGTGAAACAAGGCCACCCAGAACAAAGAAATAGGAGACAGAATATACTTGCATGCCTGAGGGAGTGAACAATTATATTTTGGCAGTTGCCTTCCAAGTTGACTTTATCTTGCTGTTGCGGGAATACTGTAAATGCTGCTTGTTAAAAAGCTATCAGATAAGAATTCCATGTAATTTCCACCCCCTTGAATAGTCTAAGATAAGTTTTTCCTCAGGCTTGTTTCCTATTTCTGTGCAAATCTACATTGGCCTATTGGCCACCCACATACCAAGCCATACCTGTTGCAAAATGGATTTAATTAAAACACGTGGATGCAAAAACAACTCTGGCAAAGAAGCTGAGGTTGCATGCTATAAATAAACATGAACTTCATTATCTGTATTCCTTCTCTCAAGCAAGATGCAAGTTTGCATCTCTTAAACCCAAAATAACTGATTCAAAATATACCATGACTGTTTGTTGTCTTAATGTAGAGAGTTGACAGGTCAGACTATTTGTTTCTCTACGTTAGTATCACCAACAGCACAAGAAGGCCAGTTATTTAAAGAGGAAGAGGAAGAGAGCCCAATGGTTAAGACAGGCAGAGGAAATTCACATCACTCTCCTGCATGCTCCCTCCTGTGTATCTTTCACATAGTGCTACCCACCCTCTAGCAAAGCACTACAAGAAGGCTGAAGTGGCTACCTAGTATACAGGCAGCTGCCATAATCTTCCGTGGTGCAGCATCCCTTGTAGCAAAGCCAATAAGACTATTGGACAGGATAGTATCTGAAGAGTTGTTGACCTGGGTACAATACAGCAGCTGCCCTGAGGTGCCCTGAGAGAACAGTAAGTCAGGGCTTGGCCCAATCTGCCAACATGCTGCTGATCCATAAGTAGGATTGGCCTGTCCAGAGTCACCTACTCCAATTAAGTATATACCATCCACTGTTGAGCGCCGGGACCTGGATAGCACCTAAAGCTAACGTACTGTATTCAGTCATCTAAAGTGCAAAGTTCCGTGAGTTCAATCCCCAGGAGAGGGTTTGAACCCCATAAAATAACATCTAGCCACATCTGATGTGTCCCAATAGGGCAAAATTGGTCATGGGGTGCTTCCCAGTGGTCAATGTAACCAAATACTCCAATGAACAGTGACTCTCTCACAAACATCTTTCACACTGCTTGCTAATTAATTTTCCTACTAAAGTTACTGGGATGTTCTGCATGCGGAACATATATTCAATAATTAAGTTGTAGATCCTTTTCCAAAGCCAGATGCCCTCTTACAAACGACCATGTTAATTTGGTTGTAGCTGCAGGAACCTACCGTTTGTGTGACCCACTGGCATTTTAAATTTTATTTTCTACGAACATCCAATATCACAATTTTGTCTCAGCAGCAGCTTGCCATGCAAATTTGTAGTATTAGTACCTATTCCTCAAAAAACTTAAGTCCAAGTGCTTGGAGTTACTAGTACAATAGTAGTGCTTATTTTATTATCTTTTAGACTGCCTTTCTCCAAATGTTTTTGAACAGTAACTGCCAAGCTTCACATCTAGTGTAAGCTATATGTGGATTGCAACAAACATCGATGATTACAAGAAACAAAGGCTAGTTAAGATGAGCAGGATGTCCAAAGTCTGCATGCTTTTCCTAATAGCAAATCTTACCTGAAGAGACCAATCCATACAAGTGACAACCCGATGTTTAGACCAATGCTCGTCATAGAACTGTCGGCTGAAGGAAAGGTTGGCTCCAGCTTGGACATCACTACATGGATTTGAACAAGGGTTATTTCACTACTTTAAAATATGGCTGGCATTTTAAAATAATAAAACTGCTTCACCACTTATTAGTTTTGATTGTTTCTCTTCTCTACTACATTTCCTTAGCTAGTTCATTTTTTTGTGCATCTTAACCTAATGTCCTCTTTGTCTATCCTCTCCTCTCCATAATTTTACCCAAAGCAAAGAAATGAGATAAGAACAAATATTTAATATCTAAACAATTACCATGAATGGAACAGGATATCCTTGTATTTCTGCAAATTCCTTAATTGACTCAGACTATAGAAAATTATAAGTAGTATTGGGCCTGAGGTGAAAATCTATATAGTTTTCTTTCCTAATTTGACTTTACTTCCCTACACTTCATGTTGAAGGTTTCATGTGTTAGCCCACATAAAAACAGGTTCCAAAGCATAGCCTAGGATCAAACTAAACGATCAAACTCTCTGAGTTGTGATGATGGGTCTCACGCTATATTAGCTAGCACGTGATCTTCCCATGGAAAACTGCTAAAGGGGATGTTATGTATATTTTTGCATTCTGTGGGTATTGTTTATTATCTGTTCAACAATATATTATACTTCAGAACAAATTAACAGGCAAACCAGCTAACACAATCTTCCCCAAAGTAGTACCATTGGGTTTTGAACTACAATTTCCAAATCTTCCAGTCAGCATTGTAACTGAAACTGGTACTCCAAAACATCTGAAGGACACTAAGTAGGGAAAGGTTAGGCCTTGGTTTGCTACCTAGGGAACATTTAGAACAAATGCTGAGTCTTTTGATGTGGATTCAGAACTTCTACATCGTATGTAAACTATGATTTACCCCAGTGAACTCAAGCAGAACACTCAGATCTGCACAGAGCCTCTGAAAGATTTGGGTATAACCCTTCAAAAGTTGCTGGTGACTTACAATTTTAAATGACAGAAGGAATACACTCTCTCTCTCTCTCCACCTATATAGAATATTGAGAGTAATCAAATGTCATTTTTCTCTTCATCTGAAATACTTTCTAAAGTGTAGCCTGTAGAATTCCATTCAAAGAACAAAAGTGGTATTTACCCTAAAAATGTTGTGTGCCTTTTAGTTTAGAGTCCAGAAGATGTAGTTGATCTAGATCAGTGTTTCTCAAACTTGGCAACTTTAATATGTGTGGACTTCAACTCCCAGAATCCCCCAGCCAGCATCTTAAAGTTGCCAAGTTTGAGAAACACTGATCTAGATAAAAGCTGGTCTATCCATTTCTTATGTTTCAATATGTTACAATAACACAATGTAGGATAAGGACAATTAAGACCTCGAAAGCATCTAGAATTAATAAAGAGGATGCAACAAAATATATTTTACCACATCATTCAATTAGGAAAGTTTATTACTACAGTAGATGTATTGAAGACTGGGGGTGTTCCTCTCTACAAGTCATGCATGACCATTTTATTTATTGATTGGATTTTTTAAAAAGGGAAAGAAAACCACTGACCCATCTTTTTCCTCTACATCCCGGCCACTGTAGTCAAAGAAAATGTCTGAATCTTCAGCTAGAGCTCGCTCGATCACACGTATTGTCCGGTCAAAAAATATAAGGAATTCTTCCGAGTGTAGAATCTGCTGCTTTTCTTCCTCTGTCAATTCTCTGGGAGGAGCTTCCAAAAGAATATTGGCAACATTAAACATACAAGCATTTAAATATTTCCAGATGAATCTAACTCTTCAGCAAAGAAATGAGATCTTCCTATGAAACTTATAGCAACATTGGTAAGACTGGATGGTTTGCTGCCTTCTAAAGAAAAAAAAGTTTGAATCCATTAATGTAGTACTACATAATCCTAGAATGTGGCTTCTATACCAAAGACATCCTATATCTTGCATATTTATTATTCTGAAGAAGAAAATAGTTACGATCACAAAATAAAATAAACTCCACATTCAGATTTCAGGAAATATTTTTGACTGATGCTTACTACACAGGCAAGCTTGGAAAAGCAGTGAAACAGGTTTAACAAAGAAGCAGTCTTAAATGCTCTTTTAATGCAGAAGCCATCTTCAATTTCAGCTTCAAAAACCAAACAAATCCTAAAATGTTCTTAAACTGTAAAGTTGAGCTTAACTCCTGATGGCTAAATGGACACATGATGTAGTTTTACTGGCAATAAGATGAAAGTAGCTTGCTGTTGCTTCCTTCTCAGATTTTGTTTTAATTTTTCTGCTGGGATTTAGTGATGGCCTCCCATCCAAATATTAATGAGGTTTGACCCTGTTTTTTCAAGATAAGTTATGGTCAGCTATGTGCTGAGACCTAGCTAGGCTAAAATATTCTTAACTGATTAAAATACATGCTTTGCTCCATTATACTAGGGAGATGTTTTAACATCAAGAAGCATGCAAAAATCTTAGATTCAATGCCTGACATATATAAATAAGGCTGTGAAAGCTCTTTGTCTGAAATCCTAAAGAACCGTTGTCAGTCAATATAAACATTACTGAATTAAATGGACTAGAGGTCTGACTCTGTGTTAGGTATTCCCTTATTTCTATTTCTAACAACTGTTTGCGGAAAGGAATATATTTCTATACGCGCACATTATTCTCTATTCATGGCAAAACTGGCAATATTGTTTATATGCATGAAAAAAGCTATAAGAGAAGCTAAGAGAAGCATGAAACATGATGAATAAAAATCCAATTCTATTTAAAATGTTGGCAAAACAAACTTTTATTTTAATGGGGTAATGACTGCAAATAACAGGTAGCCAAAAATTAAAATTAGCTATTGTTACATATAAACATGAAAGCATAATTGTTTTAGACCATGTACAAAATTTAAATGAATATGTTTTCTGAAGATCTCAGGCCAGGAATACTCTTATTTGGAAACCTGAAAAGCTGTACCAATCAACAATACTGGACGAAGAAATCCGACTCAGGATGTAGCAACTTTCTATTTTCTATATATAATATCTCACTTTTTTAGAAATGTCCAGATTTTCGTTTCACATGCTTATTCACATCACTTTTTAAAAAATCAGATACTAACGTCCCCAAGTGACAAACAATTTTAGCTGGGGGCAATTTTTATGATGGGGGTTACAGAATCCTTGAAAACCAAAATTCATAATGGAAGTGCTAACCTAGGCTTTAGCTGCTATACAGAATTGTGAATGATGCTGCTAAAATATCTATTTGAAATTCTTGAAAGGATTAAGAAAAAAATGTTCCCTCGCTTTGCATGGAAAAAGAAACCTGGGCACTTTATGCCAACCTAAACATGCATTTCACCTATTAGATATTAATTTTCAGGAAAGCTCTTAATTCGGAATAAGTATTGCTGGACCCAGTAACAGCAGGAAATGTTAACTAAAATTCCTGTTTTGCCTCTAACATGTTTGTAATCACTGTCTTGAAGCAAACGCAAAAGTTACAAACTCAGGAAAGGAAGGGGCTGTATGATGGAATTCTGTGATTAAAAACAAAGAAAATAGAAATATTTAGTTAACAAGGACTTTCTGTGCTTCCTCATAATTATTTATATGATCAGGTGCAATCCTATTTCTATCTACTTGGGGGTAAACTCTTAAATTCACAATATTCTCAGGGTTATGTAACAAAGTTATCTTTTCCATTTCAATTTCAAATGCTGGATGGCTAAGATTACTCAGTCATGAAGGAAAAGTACTCTGTGCGTGTGCTTTTTTCATGATTGCTGATTCTTATGTTCCATGTTCATGAAGTGGCCTTCATAAGAGAAGTCAGCAATAATCCCCAGTTCGAATTAACCTGAGATTATTTTCTTGAGAAAAACTACAAATTATACCTGTCTCATCTCTGTGGGACCCAATTTTACAGTAATAAGCATTTTTGAAACATTAAAACAGTGCAAAGGAAGTTAGGCAGCTGATTTAAACACAACCAACTTTGTGTCACTTACAGTGTCAGTTTCAATTTATTATTTTCTATTCAGTTGCTAAAATATTAACATCCTCACAAAGTACTGCTGTCTCTGATTCAACTACCATACTTCCTTTTGAAATCTGCGGTCTGAGTGTCTCAAAAACTATTACTACCAAAAAGAAAGGAAAGGACTGGAGGAAAAAAAAAACTTCCACAACTATCATTCGCTTGAGACCTGGCTTGACGAGACAAGAAGAGGAGCCAGGGGCAACACAAAACACTTCTACTAGACTAAACTATAACAAAAAAAGAGATGATGTTAGTTATGGCTGTCCTTCAAATACAGCTGAAGTATACATAGAGCTCACTTGCAAGCACGTGAAAAACTAAAATAAATATATATCTTTCAGAAGTCTATTTAACTTGGCTTTTAAAAAGTATTCACTCATAATTCACTAAGTCGCCTTCCAGAGATACACGAATTATGGTTGCTTTTATGTGGCAAGGAGAGGAAACCTGACCCAAATCTCAACCACAGTTCAACAACTGAGTATTGTTCTTCTGCTCTCGCTAAGACTATTGGCTTCTCTGCTGATAAGAAAGCCTGCATTCAGGTGAGCAGAATCTCCTAAGTGTAAGTTTAGATTAACAGAGTTCAGGAGCACCCAGACTGATTATTAGTGCTGAAGAAAAAAGGTAAAAGCTAGGAAGCTGCCTTTGATCTGTTCAGACCATTTGTCCATTGAGTTTACTCTGACCCGTAACCACCTCCAGAACTGAAAGTCTTCCACAGCTACCTGATCCTTTTTAACTGGAAATGTCATGGATCAATTCTTGGCCCTTCCATCTATGAAATATATTTGCTTATTTGATTTATATACTGCTCTGGCAAGTAGTCAAGCTAGGTAAGACAAAACAAAATATGAAAACTTAGAAATACAAATTAAAATGAACAATGACATAGATATTAAAATCAACTCAGGTTAGAAAGCCTATCAGAAGAGATCTGTCTGCCAAGGTTTCTAAATGCTGAGAGAGAAGCATCCAGATGCAACTCCCAAGAAAATGCATTTCATAGCCAGAGCAATGAGAAGAGGACTCTCTCCCATGTGTCAGTGTGGTGGATTGCAGCAGAGATCAAGGCTATCAGGAAGGAGGGGGTGCATTCCAGGAAGGACATGGAGATAAAAGACAACACAGACCAGAGATGGAGCACGGGAAGCACAAGAGGTTCAGGATAGCTGCTCCCTAGAATCTCCCAGAGTATATCCACTAGTTGCAGTAGTATAGATTTAGTCTGGCAAGATTCTGTCTATATGGTGTAAGCAAATAAAGGAACTCAACTCAACTCGATTGTTTCCCCGTTGTTCTTGGGCTGGGCCTGACAACCAGAAAGATGGCCTCTGACCATGAGGCATCTTTAAAATGATCTCTCCTGCAGGTCTTAAGAACAAGGCAGATATGTAATGGGACAGAACATCCTTTAGATCAGTGTTTCTCAACCTTGACAACTTTAAGATGAGTGGATATCAACTCTCAGAATTCCCTAGCCAGCATGGGGGAGTTGAAATCCACCCGTCTTAATGTAGCCAAGGTTGAAAAACACTGCTTAAGATAGTCAAATCCTAAGCCATTCAGGGCTTTAAAGTTGCCTGGTACACAATTTGCAATCAGCGTAGACCTTTTAGTACAGTAGGCATGTGATCTCTAATCCTGCATCAATTAGCAGAGCTACAGCTGATACTTAGGTTTTGTATCAGACAAATTAGCCCTAGATGCCAAACTTTGGGATTTAATGTCCAAAATGATGGTGAGGAGATGTCTTAATTTTAATAGAAGCTAGTCTGGAACATTCTAAAAAAATACAAAAAAACAAGAACAAAATTCAATACAATTTATTTCTCGGCTTAGTGGAAGTCAAATCATTCAGCTAACTTGTTTGCCTGGGATCAATGATCAAAGAAAAAAAAATCAACATACAAGCTTAAGAATTTTAGACATTTATAATTTTAAACATACATATTTATTTTATTCAAACAATTTATATGACTGCCCAACTCATAAGTAGCGACTCTGGGTGACTTATATGGGGTTAAAACCATAAAAAAAACACAAAATAACCAATAACAATACACTCAGTGATACAATACAGCTTATCTGAGACCAAGCTAAAATATATATTCTAATTCCAAAATCAATGCTCTGGCCCAGTGCACAGGGGAAAACCAGGTTTTCAAGACCTTACAGAAGGCCAACAGAGTTGGGTCCATCTGAATCTCAGGGGGTATGCTGTTCCAATGGGCAGGTGCTGTGACACAGAAAGAATGGCTCCTGGGTCCCACCAGGTGACACTGGTTTATAGACCCAAAGCATGACCACCCTGCCAGATCTTTTGGGGCAGGCAGAGACAACTGGGGACAGGCAGAGGCAATTGGGGAAAATAAGCCATTTCTTGAAGGGCTTTGAAGGTGGTACCCAGCACCCAGAAGCCTATAGGGAGCCAGTGTAGCTCATGAAGTAATGGTGTTACATGGGCGTACTGTGGTGTATGCATAACTACCTGTGGCTCTACATTCTGGACCAACTGCAACTTTCAGATGTCTTTAAGGGCAGCCCCATGTGGATCACAATGTAATAGTCCAAAGAGGAGGTGACCTAGGCATCAGTGATCAGAAGCAGGTCCTCCCATCCAGGAATGGGCACAATTGGCTGACAAGATGGATTTGTACACAGGCCTTCTTGGCCACAGAGCCTTGCAGGAGCCAAGAATCCAGGGACTTCCAAGTTGTGCACCAGTTCTGTCTAGATGTGTTCAACCTCATCCAGAACTAAATATGGAGATCCCATCTGGAGGACTCCAAAACCCACAACCACTCAGACATGCATGGGTTAAGCTGAAGCCTGTTCTTTCCCATCAGATGCCCACAGTCTCAAGACTCTGGGAAATAACCTTTATGGCATCACTTGGTCAGCCCAGGATAGAGATCTATAGCTGGATATCATCAACATACTAATGATATTTGACCCATGCCAACAGGTTACCTCATCCAGCAGCTTCATGTAAATGTTAAAGGAGCATCAAGGAACCCTGCAAAGCAGGACTCTAGGATGAGCTCTATTTTCCTTCCTTTCAACACTGACTGGAATCAGTCTCAGAGGATGGAAAACCACTGCAACACCATGCCACCCATTCCTAATCCTTAAAGCCAGTCCAGAAGGTTGCCATGATTGATGGTATCAAAGGCTACTGAGGTTCAAGGAGAGCCAGCATAGATGCAGCACCTCCATCCTGGTCCCACCAAAGGCCATCTACAAATGCAATCAATGCCATCCCAGTTTGTATCCTGACTGAAAAAGGTTTAATTTGCTTTCTCCAGGGTCCCCTGAACCTAGAACCTTAACCCTTCCTAACAACCTTCCCTTAGGGACACAGGACAAAAATTGTCCAGTCTTTGTATCCAGGGGTGGTTTCTTAAGGACCAGATGGACCTCTTTAAGAAGACACAGATCTTGTACACAGGTGGTCATACTTATAGCCCCAAAGATTCTATCCACTGGATCAACAGGTTCAAACTCTTCCCAGGTAACCATGCTAGACCATGCCTCAGTCAACTCCAAAGAGCTCGCACCTCCAGAGTTTAACTCAGAGCAGATCTGAACAAGTTTATCTGACAGACACTTAGTCTTCACAGCAACCTTACAGATTAAACAGCAAGCCATCTGCAGGCTGAATGAGATGGAAACATAATTATGTTATTGCCATTCTTATCAGATAATAATTAATAAAGGATTTTACCTGGCATTCAGTAGTAGAAATCAAAAGCCCAGGACACTGAGGGCCTGATGACTAGACACTGAGGCCAAACGCAGGGGGCTAGAACACAGAACTGATATCACACACTAAGACTGCCTTTCTCTAGAGCAGCCCACCCTATCTTTCATCATCTCTCCCCTGTGATATTACCCCTACTCTGCAACAAAGTAAACCCCATGGCTCCTGTCCTCCCGCCCCCCAAAATAAAAGGCCCAGCTCACACCCTAATGCCAGAAACATACCACTACTGCCTAATTGGTTCTTTGGGATCCTTCTGCTCCAGCATTCAGCATCCCTAGTCTCAGAGAGTCAACCAAGTCCATTACCACATATATAGAACAACCACATCACCCTCTATCCTCCCATGGTTTCACCAAGATAGGTTGAGCCCTAAACCACATTCACAAAGCCTTACTAGGTGGGAGATCTGGAAAATCACAATCACCTTCCTTCTGCCTCTCAGCTAGGTGGGAGCAAATAGCTACACCATAGTCAATATCTGCTCCTCAATACAGTTCACTAAGATCCACTATCACCCCAATTCACAGATCCTATTTGTATCCTCAACCAGTTCTTTGGAACAAAAAGATGGTAAACTCTAAAGCTCCTGAGAGATGAAAACAGACAACACACACTCCAGACTCTCTGAGTCCTGCTGCAGTATATAAGAGGTAAGATGGCCACTGACAACATGGCAGGCCTTGTCACAGCTGCAAGACTGGTCCTCCAACCCCACTCTGGCCACTGCTTAGCAACATCACCCAGGTGCCTACAGTATTTGAAATACCCAAGGCAGGCATTCCTGGGTTGCCATAACTATGATTGTTCAAGTAGAGATGGAGAAGCTGGCCCAGTCAGACATATCACTGTTACCACATGGACAAACAGCAGCCAGCTCCCTCACCACTGCTAGCATAGCATTGCTGAATCTTCATCAGCTGAGTGGCAGTGCCTCCAGTCCAGCACTGTGCACCACTGAGCAGCTAACTAGAAGTCTTTTGACTGTCCCCATTCCACTGCCACTTCACCACTCAGTCCAGTCCCAGCCTAGATCAAGCACTGGCTGCCAACAGAGTCTCCTTCCCAATCACCCAAAAAGCTTTGCTAACCACCAACTTTTGCTGCTGCCAAGAACCTTTCTTGACCAAAGGGAGTCCAAAGACCCTTCCATTCTAACTCAGGATCTCTTCATGTGCACAAGCCAGCTCCAAACTTGCTTTTTACAATGGCTCCCTATGTCTTATCCCTTTCACACATCTGGTAATCAGTGGCATTATATATATACCAAAAAATCACTGCCACTAAGCTTGATAAAATTTATTTGATTTTCACATTTATATACTGTACTGCTTTACTCCAAGGAGGTTATTAATTATTTCCTTATTCCTTGGTATTCTCATAACAAATATTGTAAGAAAGATTAGGCCAGGGGGAAGCAAACATTTGGGACAGTTTTGGTTTTTCGGAAGCATGGGGAGCATAACTGTCTAACGGGGACAGAGCAATAGACTTCTTGCCTATTCACAAAATAGGCTGCTATGCTGAGCAGGTCAATCACAAAACATCCAAATGGCTGAGACTGGTTCCTGCTCTGTTCAATTCCCATGCATTATCAAATTCCCTCCCCCTTTTTTTCTAGATAATTAGGCACCCTTCAAAACAAACACTGGAGTGCAGATATCCATTATTTCACCTTCTAACAATGCCTATTGAGCTTATGTGGGAATCATAAATATAATTAAAAGCTGGCATTTTGCTAGCAGAATACCAGCTTCCCATTTTTATTTTATTTTTTTTTAATTAAAGGAATATACTTTTTACATAACAGGAAGATAAGTGGACCAAAAAGCCAGGCATCATACTGTCTGCTTTTGGATTAGTGTGAAAGTCAGGAACTGGTCAAAGATAGTCCTAAACCAACATTTTAATCAGAGCATCATATTACTAATTACCACATCAAAAGGCAGTTTTTAGTCCTGAAAGCATTATTTTGACTGCAAATCTGAAAATTTGTTTTATGTAACTTAGAGGATACTGTTTTCTTAATAAACACATTTAGAAATCATACTGTATACATCTATTTTTAGAGGTACCCTAAAAGTCTGAAGACCATACCCTACTAATGATGGACATTAAGTACTTAATACTGAACAGTATACTTACATACCTTCCTTCACATCCTGCTTCTTTTCTTGAGTTTCTATCTCAGCATCATTCTGAGCTTTCAATTCCACCAATTCATCATCTTCTTCATCCTCTACAAAACAAAAGGGAATCAGGAGAAATTATTACTTTCATTCAAGATACGGCTATATTAGACTCCACTGCAAGGGTATATCCAGGTCTGGACGCTATACTTTAAGAAGGGTCAGACAATCTGGAACAGGTTCCAAGAAGGACAATGAAATGATCTGGAGACTAGAAACTAAGCCCTATAAAGAGAAACTGAAGGAACTGGGTATATTTAGCCTTGAGGAAAAAAATGATTGGAGAATGGATATGACAGCACTCTTCAAATACCTGAAAAAATGTCATATAGAAGAAGTCAAGGCCTATTCTCTTTCATCTCAGAGAGCACAACACAGAATAATAGATTCAGTTATAGGGAGGCAGATTCTGAATAAATGCTACGGAGACAGATCCCAATGGGATAGGAGGGTCTCCTTCACAGAATGTGTCCAAGAGAAAGTAGAGAGTCATCTGCCTGGAATGTTTTCATCAGGATTCCTGCACTGAACAGGGGATTGGTTTCAATGGCCCAAATGTCCCCTTCCAATCCTAGAAATCTGTTTTTCTGTACTTTCTCCAGTACCTCCTTCATACAGTAGGTTAGGAGTGTGGACAGACCAGATAAATATTCTCCATTCACTCTGCCTCATTCATGGAATTTTAGAGATGCCACATTATTTCCTCTATTTCTTCCACGTTTCTTCTTACCTCAGAAAAACCATTAAGGCAGAAATACAAGAGATGTAGTATTTGAGGCTGGTTTTAATATTAAATTGTTTTTATTCATTTGTATGCGTCTTTGAGAATACTTTTATTTTGAAATGTGAGACATATACAAGCAAACAATCCACATAACTGAGTTTTCCAAAACAGTACAATTTTTCACAGACATCCCTTAAAAAGAAACACACACACGCCCAATTATTATTAGATATATTTAATTATTCTGCAGCTCCTGGCGTATTCCATCAACACTGGGGACATGTATTAGATGCTTCCTATATGACAGTGTTTTGCAGTATGATATGAGAAATTCAAAAGATATATATGTCTGCTACTAAATACAGATAACTAAGGCCTTTCCAGAATAATATGACAAATATTGTTTCTTTTGTCAATCGAAACCCAGGACAATGGCTTTTAAATATACCAATCCAGAAGCAAAACAGCCACAAGCTTCCAATATTCTTAAATTAACCACCTGGTCTTTTCTCATCCTGCAGATGATTTCCTATCTCAGTGATCTTTGTGACCAACAAAAGGGGGGGAAGAAAAAAGGAAAAAAAATATGTACAGGTTTCAGCCTGGCACCTACTCTACTAATGGGTCACCTGTTATTCAAACAATTCAATTCTTGGCAGATTAATTTCTCTTTTGACCTACAAGGGAGGGTTAAATACAATTCTGACCCCAGGTCAGATGCTACTGACAAGTAAACAGGATTAACACAGTTCTGAAAAGTGACCACCACCACTCAACTTGAGATGACAGCATCTGGGAGGTACATTTGGAGCTTAAGAGTGTTTCAGCATTAATATGAACTTAATGAGCACTGAAAATTGACACAAGTCAACTACTACTAACAGATGTTTTACTGCCCTTCTTTGACCTATGCAAATTATACTTTCCTTGCTTCTTCTTCTCTACTCATATATATTTCCTTTTCCTGTTTTGTTATATTTACCTTAAGCTATATGAAAGTTTGGAGACTCAGGCTGATGCCCAGTACCAATTATACGCTCATACACTCGACTGAGCACATCTGGGGAAGGAAGTAATGCTGTAGTTCAGTGGTAAGCTTGTCTATTGCATCTGTGAGGTCCTGGATACAGTCCCTGGCTCCAATTTAAAAGGCTCTAAAATAGAACATCTCCCTTAGGCATGAAGCCAGCTGGATGACTGTGAGCCAGTCACTCTCTGTCAGCCCTAGGAAGAACCACTTCCCAAAACACTACCAGAAAAACTGCATGGATACTAGCCATGTGGTCACCAGGTGTCAGGGATGACTTGAAGGATCATAACAAGAGCAATAAAACAGAACATCACCTTGCACTCAAACAGGCCCAGCCTAGATGAATGAATCATCTGGCTGAGGTATCAGATGACTTTATTTGATTGCATAACTGAGTTGAACTAGGAGTCATCCAGTCACAGCTAGTACCTATAAAAATCAGGACAACCACAGAATGCTTTGATATCTTGCCATTTGGGTTTTGAACAGAAAATGGACCTAGTTTTTCATTCTTTTCATAATGTGCATACAGAAGAAAGGATAAATGACTATTTTCACCTTTACTCAATGTACATTTGTTGACCTATGAACAACCTACATGCCAGCGTACTTTGGTACGGAGGAAATGGACCTCGCACTATGATGGTATTTCTGTCCAGATGAATGACTGTACTGGAGGCAGAACTCAAAGGAATGCTGGAGTGGGACAATTTTATTAATAGGGACAATGATATCATATAAGTTATCTCTTCAGACTTTCCTGTTTTCTCAGAATCTACTTGCAATCTTCACAGCAGCACCGGAGGAAATAAATTTTTCCAATAACAAAACATCAAAATGGGCTAATCCTATTGTAATGTAAAATATTTTGGGGTAGCTTAGTCTCAGATGAAGCATTATATGTTGTGGGTATCTCTCTCTCAGAGCACTTATGCCATATTAGTCTTACACAATACATACACAATACACACATACACTGTCCACACATGATTTAGCATACTTGAAATCTGCCTGCATTTCAAAACTCTCTACCACTGCCCAAATGTATGTACAAAAATAATAACATACAAATGGGACTGTAAAAAGAAATTAAAAGAGTTTTTTTTAAATAATCTTAATAAAGGTACAGATGTAAGAATGGTTTGGGATGCAAGCAAAGCTTTCATGAGAGGTTACTTTATACAACATTATAGTGAATTCAAAAAGAAGACTCAAGAGAAAGGACAAGCTATTTTGGATGAGATAAAAACAAAAGAAGAGGAATTAAAGAAGTTTCCAGAAAAGATAAATATTTCTCAACAAATTAAGTTTCTACAGTGACAATTATCACTGACAGTTATCACTTATTAACACTAAGCAAAATGGAAATGAAAATTAATTATGCAAAACAAAACAAAAATTGAGTTTGCAAATAAACCAGGGAAGCGGTTGGCATAAAAATTACAAAAAGAAAATGATATTACAGAATTACAGAGGGGGATACTGTAATAACAGATAATGTGGTTATGCAAAAAGTATTTCATCAGTATTATTCCAATTTATATAAAGGACAAAAATTTCCCTGGGGAAAATAGATGAATATTTAAAGAAACAAAATTTATCAAAAATTACAGAGAAACAAACAGATTATGAATGGACCCATAACAATAAGGGAAGTTTGTGAAGCTATAAAAAAGACTAAAACAGGAAAGGTGCCTGGACAAGATGGGTCATCAGGTTCTTACTATAAAAGTTTTGAGGATGAACTTTTACAACCTTTACAAAATATGAATTCTATTTTACTCATGGAATGAAGCTAAAAAAGATACATTAAGATAGGAGAAATCACAATTATCATTGTTGGGAGAATTTCTGTGATAAAAATGAATGTTTTGCCTAGAATGTTGTTTTTGTTTCAAACAATACCAGTTTTGACAACTGATGCACCATTTAAACAGTGGGAAAAAGATATATCTAAGTCTGTATGCCAAGGGAAAAAAACCACAAGTTAATATAAAGTGTTACAAGATGCAAAGGAAAGAGGAGGATTAGATTTACCTGATTTATAATTATATTTTGCAGCTTGCTGTTTGGCTTGGATGAAGGAGTGGGTGTTGCTGAGAAATAGAAGACTTGTAGAGTTAGAAGAATATGACTTGAGATTTAGGTGGCATTCATATTTGTGATACGATAAACTTAGGGTTAATGTAGATTTTAAAAATCACTATGCTAGAACACGCCGTATTGAGAATACAGAATAGATACAAATCCAGGTTGTGTCTGAAAATACCTTTGTGGCTCTCAGCACAAGAAGCATTTTATAGATGAGAAACAATAGGGAAATACAAATAGTTAACATACCATGAGATACTAGAATTTTGTCAAGGGGAATACAAAATAAAATCAAGAGAACTGATGGCAGAGGGACATAGTTGACAATGATTTTCCTATTGACAGTTATCAGAAAGATTCAAAGTAAACAAAAGAATTTATGGTACTGAATATTCTAAGACTGCTTTGAAACAGAATTGTGTACAAATGATGAACATGTGATTGCTAAAATGCATAAACTTTTATTGAAATTTGAAAAAGAAGAGCAAGTGAAAGAATATATGATAAAGTGGGCTAAAGTTTTTTGTTATAATATACAGATGGAACAATGGGAAAATATGTAGTTGAAAGGACTGAAATTTACTCTGTTATAATCTTAAAGGGAACTTTTATAAAATGATGTACCATTGGTATATGACACCAGAAAAATTATCTAGAATGTATAAAGGGACTTCAAATCTACATTGGAAATGTGAACAAGGGTCATTTTATCATGCTTGGTGGATGTGCAAAAAAGCTAGATTTTGGGTTCAAATGCTTACACAGAGGATTTTAAAGATTAATATACAACTGAAACCAGAACCTTTCCTCTTGGGACTGATGGATAAACAGTTTGAGAAAGTCATGGAACTTTGTTTTATATATAATAACTGTAGCAAGTTATTATACTCATAAAAATGGAAAGCTTTGGCAACACCTACAACGGAAGAATGGTTGGTGAAGACGATAGAACTTGCTGAGATGACCGAATTGACCTGTTTGATTAGAGAAAAGACAATAGCTAACATTTATTGCTGACTGGACTTTTTGCATAAAACAGAAAAAAATATATTTATGATCTATGATTTTGACAATTAGATAGGATAGACTATGGAAGACAGTCACAATGTAACTTTAGAGAAAGAGGTAAATCTACAACTGTACTTATAACTGCTGTAAAGATCAGAAGTCACTTTTTTATATCTTTTTTTGTATTTTTCTTCTACCTCTTTTCTTTTTGCACTTTAGCTTTTATTACTTCCTTTTTCTTTTTTTCTTCTTATTCTATTTTAGTTTGTATTAATTTCTACTCTTGTTTTTAAAACTTTCAATAACATTTTAAAAATAATGATAACATAAAAATAGGACACTCCATTAGATTAACTAATCCTTACTTGTACACGAACGTATCTCTGGTTCCATTTTATATTAGAGTAGAAGGACATGTTACCAAACCCTATCTGAATTATATCCTCCCCAGCAACCATCATGAGTCCTACAGTCTTTACATTGAGGGTGTTCCAATCTCATTAGAAAATGTAAAAATTGCTTGATCATTTCCATGGCTGCAGTACTGCACTGAGGAAGTGAGGTAGCATTATTCTCAGCATCCTCCAGAAATAGGAAACATTCTTGAAAGGGATTAGGCCCCTGGAAGGGTTATATCAGTTGGTGATGGTGACAGCAATTTTGTGAAAGCACTCTTTTTTACAATTAACACTTTCTCTGTTTTCAACAATACAGCTGCAAATCCTAATCCTGGTTGTCAGATTGCCATTATCTCCCAGTTCCTCTGGTAGTTCACAATATCACTTCATAATTTCATTTCAGAAACACCAGAGAAGGGAATGATAAGTTTTATTGTTCACATTCCAAAACTATTTTTATTCTATTCATCATTAATGTGACAGGATTCCCACCACACCAACGGCTGGCAATACAATAGCCATCAGCATTACTCAAATTTGTTAGAGCTGCAGTATACAGAGTTATTGATATGGAAAATTATTTCTCCCTTCTGTAAGAGTATTCTGTGTGAATTGGCTGTCACAAATTAATCATGTCCATTTGTATTAATAGATTCCCCTCCCATTGCTTGATTTTGAGTCACTGCTCTGAGTTTCCTCTATGTGCATACATTATCAATCAGTTGGTTTCAAGTGACCTTGAATATATTTTTATGTAAAATAAGAAGGTCCTCTGGTGACAATTTAAACTACATGGTAGACATACTTCCAAATGACTTGATTGCCACGTACTTCTGATCAAGACCTACAAAAGTACACCTCCATTTACTACTTTCTAAAGCCCTACCAATCTTCAGACGTTTTCACGTATCAGGTGACATTTTAAAAAGCCTGCCCCTGTTATGAAATTTCATAAAATTTACACAATTTGAAAATATAAACTTTATACAGCAAACATGTTTTACTTAGAAACTATACTTTTTAGAGCTAGGATCCAAGTACTGAGAAGAAGAAGAGACAACAGTTAACTTTACTGATCCAGGATTCCCTAGATCCTGATCTACAAGCCATTACTGCAATGAAAGACTTCAGGGCTCAAGTGTATGTTTATAGATAGTTGCATCTCTCCAACATCTCCCTGAACTTGGTCTATTTATTTGGGGCTTTTTTCTTTTTCTTTTTCTTTTTTTTGTTACCATCTTTTGCAAGCAACTGAGATGAGAAGACTTAGACTTGACAAATGCTGTTCTAAATCCTATTCCTACCCCTTTTAAAGACCCCAGAAAGAAGGCTTCAGATCCTTCTCTCCTATGGAAGTGATATTTTCATTGGGATATGTGTTTTAGTTTCTCTTGCAGCTAGTACTGCTGCTGTTGAAAAAGTTCACTATGGAGCTAATTATTGCCTAAGATTTATGTAAGGCAGACAGTCCTCACTGCTGCTGTTATGTACAACCAGTTCAACAGCTATGATCTATATTGCTCCCTGGAGTACAAAATTTACACTTCCATAGATTTGCACCATGACAGTACTTCTACACGTTTGTGAAAGCAGAGCCATGGGGAATATCATGTTTTAATTTTATATAATTTGAAATTATCCCTCTCTCCCCCTTGAATAATAACCACTTTTAAAAACTGCATGTTAGTAAATGGAAAGTAAGCTAAATGTCTTGCTTTATCAAATAGTACTATATATGGTATGGTGAGCTAGTACAAATGCAATTAGCTGCAAGCATGCCCCAAGATGAACAAGTGAATGCAAATTTGGGCTAGGGGAAGAACGCAAGTTTCTTCAGAGTTGTCTTTCAACTCCAAAACCACTATCAATTTTAGATGACTGCTAGCCTCTAGGAACAATGTTGGTCACAATCAAATGGTGAATGCATCCTAAAGATAAACAATTGACAGCCAAGGCTATACCCACTGCAATTCAAGTCCCAATCAGAAAGCATAATACAGTATGTCGGATTTCTATAGTTTATAAAATAAACTACATTTACAAATAACCGAAAGTAATAGTTTGATCCATTTTGGATTGGTCGACCCCACTAATAGTATTAAGTACAGTTCTTGGCACTGCACTTTAAGAAATTAGGGTAGTACCCACTATGTCTTCCATTTTATCCTCACAACAAACTTAGGAAGTATATTTGCCTGAAAGAGAATGTCAAGACTCAAATCTAAACATGGTGTCCTGGTGGACTGCTAGTGACAACAGATATCAGCTTGAAGCCACCATTAATATTTCTTACACTGTCCCAGAAAATCCCTGCTCTGGCTTTGTCCCAGTATACTTGGTAAAATTTAAATGCCAATGTGCACAATTCCTTGAAAAATGTGATATTGTGGTATTGCAGTACTGTTAGATACTGTAGAATCACTCCAAAGCCTTCCCTAACTGGGGTCCCCCCTGATCTGTGGAGTCCAACTCCCAGAACTCCTCAGCCAGTATGTCCATTGATGAGAATTATGGGAGACTCAGGTAAGCTATTGTCTAATTATCTGTAAAAGGCACCCTTTGTATACTTTAACTAGAGTGTCCTCTGGGGAGAAAGTCTGGCTAGAAAACAAATAAATTACATAAATAATAACATCGGAGTTGCTTATAAGCAACTGGGAAACACCTGGAAGTAAATTAGCAGAAAAAAATGCAACTAGTGATAGACTCTGCAACTATCAAAAGCTTTGTGCAAAAAGAAAAAAGACTTATATACACATTATGAATTTCAACAATTTGTTTGACTGTAAAAAAGATTTCTTGATGCATTACTTCTCCTTGCCTTACTGTAAACAGTATATTAAAAACTGAAAATATAGCATCCTGTTAAGACTCTTCCAAGTTAATTTTCCTTCATGTTACTCTCCATTAGCCTCTCTAAGATTACAGTATATGCTATTTCTGGCTTGAGTATTCTCAGGTCTGCTGGTTTAGTATTTCTCATTTCCATCTCTTGGTTTTTCACTTTACCACTAAGTGTTGATTTTATGTTTTCAGGCAGCTTTGCTTTCATTGCGCTCAGCCACTGCTCTAGAAAGGCAGGTCTTATTTTTCCATTTTGTGACAAATGATGGAGTATGGAAGCCAAATGGCAAGGAAATGCTTCTGAATGTTTTGTTTATGATTTTTTCTTCTGGCATCTCATAACTGCCCATAAGCCATATTCACTGAAACCCTGGCTACACGAAGTTGCACTGCTTCCTCTATTAGATTCAGTAATCCCTCAATATAATTATTTTCCTATTAATTAAACATGGAAAGCTGCCTATGCTTCTTATGGAAAGTATCTGTTGAATCCCAGAAACTGATTTTCCTTGGCCTGACTACATTTTCCTTGGTTGACACAAGAATCTCAAAATTCTTTGCCCCTTGGTCATGGCCATAGACCAACTGTGGCCCTTTCTTTTTGAAATACAGTACTTCAGCACATTATCCACCAGGGAAAATGGCAAAGACACTTAGTAAAATCATTCAACTAAGGATGTTTATCTCCATATGACACACTGGGAATGGAATGTACACTATTCTAATCTATAGATGACTACTTAGATGTAAATCCTGGCCAGGCATTTTTGAAGCAGAAGGTCAAGTGGGCTATGGATTACAGAATTGATTTAGACCTTTGCAATTTTAGTCCAGCACACATTAAAAGGATCATGCAGTGTATAGAATAAGGCATTCACACTAGCAGCCAGAAATAGGACCCAGGCCCTTTAATTGTATTTATTTACTTTCATGAATAAATAAAACTCTAGGTTAGGAAGGAAGGCAGGCAGGCAGGCTGGCTAGCCAGCCCAATCAAAATGGCAGAGTATATACCATGAAACTATAACAATCATCCACCAAATGCCTGATGTAACAAAACTTTTATCCTGGCTCTATGGAAACTAAGGTCAAAGTTGTAACTTTGCCTCCACAACAATAGGGTCACTATAGAGATCTCTCATAGGAACAGAACTGGAAAAACTAACATCAATGGCTAGACCTGGCATCATCTGGGGATATGCTCAGGTGTACACCTAAGGAGAGAGGCCACCACCTACTCAAATAAAGAGGATCAAGTAATAAACATATAAAGGAGTTGCTATATTCTGGTGGCATATAAATATGAGAAAAACATAAATAAATATAGAAATGTAAGAGTCAAGTACATTATACAGCTGCACAAAAGATATGGTCTCTCATGGGGTAAAATGAAAATATCAAGGGCTACATTTCATCCATTTTATCACTTTAACTGCATTTTATCAATACAGTTGGAGCCTCCTGGACCTGCTGCTCTTCTTCTTACTGTTCTTTCTTTCTCTTTTATTTTTTATTTATTTATCTTTATTTCTTATTATTTTATATCCTGCCTTTCTTCCAGAAACTGAAAATTAAGTACACAGCATTCCCTCCTGCCATATTTTCTCTTGTGAGGCAGGTTGGGCTGAAAAATAGCAAGTTTCCATGGCCAAAAGCGACTTGAACTTGGGTCTCCTGTTTTAAGTCTGCAGCTTAACTAATGTTCCACACTTGTCCTCTATTTTGTCAACTACTCCACCCAAGTGATGAATAGTGAAACGAATAAGGAATAAGAAATGTTAATCTCTGCATTTCCTCTTTTCTCTACCTTTGGGAAGCAGTGGCACTTAAAAGAAGAGGGAAGCACTAACCCTAAGTAGTGATCAAGTGGTAAGGAGGCACCTTGCTCAAAGGTTCCCAAATCCAGATCAGGATTGGGCCTTGCTGTGGTGTGGTTCTTACTTTTCCATCATTGCCCTAATTCTCCTGAGTTGAGTTCATCCCCTTATCTTGATCTCAGATAAATCTCAGACTTGCTAATCATGAAGATGCTCGTCCAACAGAATGTCACATTTTCAAAAAAAAATCTTATCAGACTGGGGTGTGGGTCAACCAGTTTGCTTGACATAAAGCTAACCAGACACCACACTAATGAGAATAATGCAACTTGGGAATAATTGTTGCAAAGCCATATCTTTTTCAAAGCCAGTTGAATTGTTCTCAGCGGCCCATGTTTTAAAGAGAAAAAGAGGAAAAAGTAGCAAAATATAACAACTCCAGAATAATACAAACCAATGTTTTTGTTCTGTTTTACCAGGAAAACCTAATATAATCTTTTCAAGTCTTTTAGTTACTGCTCTGTTCTCTCACTAATTCATAGGGCAAATTCACCTTGATAGGGCACTAGATTTGTACATGGACCAATATTCTTAATTGGAAGAACCAATTTCTACTTTTGAACTTTCTGCTTTTTCAGTCAGTTTCTACAGATGAGAATTGATTTTCACCCACTATTCTAAGGTAGTGAAGGGTTTATGCAACTGATGCAAAACAAAAGAAAGCCAATGAATGCATACTAAAGAGTTGTACAAATTATGAGTGGGAATGCATTGGAAACCATCAAAATATGCATTCCACCAGGAACAATACAATATCAATAGACATATGCCATTAAAGATATATTTCAATGGACATCCACTTTGCCTGGCTTGTGCAAAAGGGAGCACAGCTAAAGTTTACCGCATAGGACTGAGAGCCAGTATAGAGTGCTGTTAAGGTATTGACTGGACTAGGACAGGGGAAACCCAGACTCCAGTACACCCTCAGCCATGAAAGCTCACTGGGTGACTTTGGGCCAGTCACTCTCTCCAATCCAATGAACCTTACAGCAGTGTTCCTCAACCCTGTCAACTTTAAGATGTGTGGACTTCAACTCCCAGAATTCCCCAGCCAGCCTTGCTGATTGGGGAATTCTAGGAGTTGAAGTCCACACATCTTAAAGTTGACAAGGTTGAGGAACACTGCCTTACAGGATTGGTGTGTGGGAAAAAATAAGAGGAAACAATATCTTTGCTGCCTTGAGTTCCCATACAAAAGGTGAAATATAAATCCAATAAATAAATAAACTGGGCATTGTGAAGATTTGAGATAACAGTCCATAACAATGGAGCAACAATGTTGACAAAACAGTGGAGATTATGATGATAAATCTAAATACAGTATAATGAGAAATATGAACTTGAGATGCTCAAGTCAACATTTCTTTGCCTTCTAACTATTTTGCATTTAAATCTAAATAAATTTTGTCAGTAGAGAAAGGCTGGAACATTCATGGAAGATACTGCATTGAAACTATTTGTAAGTATTACTCTGACTGGTAGCCAACTTTCCAAAGGGTCAGGCATACTATGAAAAATCACGTCCAAAACTGCTAAAATTGTTTTTTGGGGGGAGCAATTTTTCACTGAGGGGATGTTTATGAATTGTGCTTCTATTTGTTTATCTAAGCTATTTATATACTGCCTGTTATGGAAAACATCTTAGGTGGTGTCCAAAAATATATATTTAACATGATATACAAAATTACATTGAGATAAAATGTGTAAATAATCTATTAGCCATAACTTAATAGAACAGCACGTCAAATGTCAGGATGAATTTACAAGCTTTCAGTCTATAGTAGCAAATCTGGTACATGTTTTACTTCCTGAGATGGGAACAGTGATGCAAAGAAAAGTATATGATAAAAGTACATGATAAGGGGATGGAGGTAATTTTAATTAGAAACACATTCTTGTTTGTGAAGGGTAGTTATTTAAAAAAAAAATTAAGGAATATTTTAAGGAAACTTTTAAAAAATCATTGTGGATGGCTCCAGCAATCCTTTTAGCTGCACTAACCTCAGAATTAATATTTCCACAATTCAGGATGAATATTTTCAACTTCACTGCACTGATGTTTATGGAAGTTTAGGCATTTTATCAAAATAATTCTGTATATTTAGTTATTCTTTTCTCTAAGGCTATTCTTTTATTTATTAGCCTCCAGTAAAAGCTGTGTATTTCTTAAAAGAGCTAAAGACTCACTATATTCACAGCTAAATTACAGAAAACCACGCAACCTCCTCCCGGAGTGTGCTTGTTGCTTTGTTGCATGACTTGAAGAACATCATTCTTTCTCCATGAGTCAGTGTCAAATGAAACACTTCCTGCTCCAACAATAAATGCTAGTGGGCAAAAATATATTCATGTACTACAAAGCTGATACTTAATCTCTAAAGTGAGAAGTGCCAAAATCCAAGCCTGTCTGCAGTTCATGGCCTCTGCCCTGGAAGCTTCCCATCTTTTAACTCAAAATGTGTGTAGGAGCTCCTTACCGCTACAGAATGTTGAGACAAAGGTGCTCTATACATGCTCAAAAGTATCCCTACCAGTATGTGCTGATTGGTAAATGTTCATTAATCTAAGTACTGATTGCAGAGAATAAAGAAGATGACCTGATGGAGATAAGCAGTAACCATTGCCTAGGTAAAAGGGGCTGAAACATTTTTTAAGTCCAGAACTATGAGATAACATTCAGAAGCAGATCAGGCAGATGCATTCCTAATTCACTGGATTATAAGAAGGGGGAAGGACAGCACTATCAGACTTGTAAGGTTCTGTTATTATAGCCAGTCTTGCTAAAAGTAGTTTTAGCCTTCCTGTGGATTGATTTTTTGGTCTGCTCTACCTACTCAGCTCACTTTGACTTAAATTATAGTGCAGCTAACATTCTCATTCTCTGGCTGGGTGTTGCTGCAGACTCAGCTGAGGAATGGGGGACAGGAACCAGAAAGTTCAGGGCTGAAAGCTAGACTGGGAAACTTGGGGGCAGGGGGGGGAAGACTACCAGAACCAGACAATAGCAAACTACTTCAAAAACGTGCCTGAATGTGCTCATGTAATTTCCATGAGACTTTACACTGAGCAAGTACTGACATAAGGAAAAAGGACACTCCGAAGGAGCAAATGTTACAGACAACCATTTTTGTAACCAAAATATTTTTCTATCCAAACCTACTTCAACCAGCAAACCATGGATCTCTGTTGTTGTTGTTGTTTAGTCGTTAAGTCGTGTCCGACTCTTCGTGACCCCATGA